GCTGGCATGTGGTGCTGGGGGATTGAACCGCGGTCCCTGTGCTTTGCCAAGCTTGTTCTAAGTAGGTGCTTTAGACCACTGAGCCATCTCTCCAGCCCCATAAGGGTGGGTTTGAGTGTGATTGATTTATGGCCCAAAGCGAGGGTTATGGGTGTGAGTGCTCCGCCCATCCTAGGGCTGATAAACTGCATACAGCATGAAGGAAGGAAAGAGGAACGCTCTTTCTGCTCCTCCTTGTTGCTTTTGCTGTTTTCTGCTGCCATGAATTGTCACCCCTCTGCCATGTGCTGCTCTGCCTTAGCCAACCTAGTCTGGACTGAGACCTCCACAAACTGAACTAAATAAACCTTTTTTTTTTTTTCTTAATTCTGGGTGTCAGGTATTTTGTCTCAGCAACAAGAGAAAAGCAACCAACACAGTATGTGCTGGGTAGCCTCTCTCCTTGGAAGATCTGGGGCGTGCGGCCCTTCTGGAGAACTTGAGGTATGGGGGGCTCTGGGATAGAATGCAGGGCCTTATGCATGCTGCGCAAGAGCAGTAGCACTAAGATACACCATACAAAGCCCATAAGCTGGTGTCTCAAGGCCGGCCTGGACAGTAGAGTGAAACCCTGTCTCAAAAAGACCAAAAGTAAAACAAAACCCACCAAAAAAAAAAAAAAAACCCTCATTGTTTTTTCTGATGATAATATAGGAGTCCCAAAAAGGAAAAAGAGAAAAAACTCCCAGGTTTAAAAATTCTGTACAGGGTCAGAGGAGCTAGAAGCGGCGCCCGTCTGGCAAGAGCAAAGTCCTGAGTTCAATCCCTGGTACCAAGAAAAAAAAAAAAGTTCTGTATATTCCAAGGATAAGTTAAAACAAAAAATAACAAACAAAAATCACACAGACACTTTGGAAAGCTAAAGATAAAAAAAAAAATATGGTAAGCTGGAAACAGCTGGGCATGGTAGCAGCACCTAGAATCCTAGCACCCGGGGAGACTGAGGCAGGAGCACTGCCAGCAGGAATCTGGCTGAGCAACTCAGCGACTGGGGCAGTTCAATAAAAAGGCCCCCGGCTCAGTCCCGGTGCTGGCTGATGCTGGGGATATGGTACCTCTTCAGGGGCAACAAAACGACAAAATGGCAATT